GGAGGGGTGATGTTGGCACTTAGTGGGTGGAGGGTGCTGCTAAGCCTGGCACAGTGCCCAGAGCACCTCCCCAGCCCTCCCACCCCGCCAGGACCACCAAGTCACCCAGCACAAAACATCAGTATCCCAAGCTGACAGACCCGGGGCTACCCTGTTCTCCACCTCCACCGCCACCCAGGGCACGTGAGCAACACACCGTTGCCCTGCTCAGTCTGCTGTGTCTCAGTGCTGAGGGGGTTTCGTTGTTGTTATGTGCTGTGGAGTTGAACCTGACTCATAGCGACCTCTCCTTGGGTTTCCGAGGTGGGATCACTATCAAGTAGATTGCCCAACCTTCCTTCCGAGGAGTGGCTGGTGGGTTTGAACCGCCAGCCTTCTGGTTAGCTAGTCAAGGGATGCTGAAACCGCAGGGATTTGGTTCAGGTGAAATGCTACCACCTTCCCGCCCCCCCCTCCCGCCAGGTGGGCCTGGAATCTTTCCCTCCTCCAGGTCCCAGGTCTGGGAACCCACTTCACGAGTGAGTGGTGCCATCTAGTGGTCACAGACATCATGGCACCAGCGGGCACTCGGCCACGCACTGGGAACTATGAATACTTAGCTGGCCTAACCCTATTGGTAAGATTTAGAAATAAACTAAGACCCCCCACAGGAGGACAGGGTGATTCATCCCGAGCTTGCAAAGAGCAAGGGAGTCAGCCACCGGGAGGAGCTGGAGGCGGGGCCGGCTGCGTGGGTACTTCGGGGAGCGTCTTTGGCTAGCACTGTTTGGTCCTGTGCTGGGATGGGGTGGAAATGAGGGCAGCTGGCAGCCATGCCCAGGTCCTTACCATCCTGGGCCCACTGCTGCAGAGGTGGTTTGGCTTCTGGGGCTACCACTGCAGAGGGCCAGCGGGTCAGAGTTCCATTGTCCCATAGCCACCCGTGTGAGGCAGCTTGACGGCAGGTCTGCACCTGCGGTCTCTAAAGGCTGCCCTCACGAGTTCTCATTAGTTGTTTGGTGCCATCCAGTCGATTCTGACTCATAGCGAGTATGTACAACTCAGTAGAACTGGCCCATTCGATTTCCTAGGCCGTAACCTGTGACACACAGGTGACAGTCCCGCTGAATGTGAAGTGGGCCAGAAGTACTTAGTGATGAAGCTCAAAGACCACAGCCTTCAGTGCGGATTATACCTCAACACAAAGCAAACTTTGGACGTGTTACCTGGAGGGACTAGTCCCTGAAGGACATTATGCTTGGTAAAGTGGAATAAGAAACAAATCCATTGTCCCTGAGTGCCACCAATTCTGACTCATAGTGACCCTATGTGCAAATGACACCACCTTTCTTGCGATCCTGCAAGATGGAGAACTGCCCCATAGGGTTCCAAGACTGTCTTTATGGAAATAGACTGCCTCATCTTCCCCCCATGGAGCAGCTGGTGGGTTTGAGGCGCTGACCAGAGCTCCTGGTAAAGTAGAGGGTCGGTGAAAATGGGGAAAGACCCTCACCAAAGTGGGCTGACACAGTGGCTGCAACAATGGACTCCAACACTGCAACGATCGTAAGGCTGGTGCAGGAGCGGTGGTGTTTCATGCTGTTCTACACAGGGTTGCTCTGACTTGGAACCATCCTGAGACATCTAATAACTACGGTCTTTGCCGGGGCAGGTCACCAGGTCTTTTCTCTTGCAGAGCTGTGGCCTTGGTTTGAACCACTGACCCTTCAGTTAGCAGCCAAGTGCTTCACCACTGTGCCACCCAAACTAAACCCACAGCTGTTGATTCTGACACCCAGCGACCCTATAGGACAGAGTAGCACTGCCCCCACAGGGTTTCCAAGGCTGTAATCCTTATGGAAGGTGACTGCCACATCCTTCTCCCATGGGGCTGGTGAGTCTAAACCCCCAACCTTGCATTAGCACCCAAGCCCTTAACCTTTGTGCTGACCATCCAGTTAATACGCTGGGAGCATGTGAATATTTACTGAGGCGGCACACACATGACCTGGCCTTCCTACAACAGCCTAAGAGGAAAGGACTGGTCACATGAGGAATGGAGTGGGAAAGCCACTTGTCCCCAAGGTTAAACAGTGGACAAAAAATGGAAAGCTGGTTTATTTAGCTCCAGAATTTACATGAATCTGCTAAACACACTAACTCCCAGAATCATAAATGGAGCCAGTGAGGACCGGCCTTCACACACCCCACGTGCCTGTGTTGAACTCCCACCCACATGTCCCTTAGGAAGCAGAGGCCTGAGAGACCCCCGTGTCACACCAATATCTCCCAATCAGGGGCTAGGACCCAGAGGGAAACGAAAGGTTGGCCGTATTTCACACGCATGTAGATACGCATGTAGATACGACTTGGAGCCACAAAGGGGCTGTAGCACTTAGTGAAATGGATATGCATTTACTGAAGGCAGGAGGAGCCCCCCGCCCTGTCCCTAGTCCTTCCTGTGTCAGCAGCCAGGCCCCCACATTCAGGCCGTCCCCTTTCAGCAGTGGGGACCCTGAGCTTGTCCTTATTTCTCTCTCCCACGTGTGAGGCCCCATCATCCCCTGGACAGGCTTCAGTGGGAGCCACTTACCGAAGATGAGAAATGGGGGAGGGGTGGCTGCTGCACAGGTGAGTGTGGGAGGGCACTGGATGGGGGGGCTGCACAGGTGAGTGTGGGAGGGCAGAGGGTGGGTGGAGGACGGTGCCGCCAGCCCCTTCGCCAAGGGCTGTCTGCCGCCCCCGCCCCCAGGCTAGCAGCAACCTTCCCCAAGGGGCCCGACCTCGATGCCCGGTTCCTAGTTTCTTGGAAGCTTTTTCACGTTTTGAAATTGCGCGTCGTGCGCTCACCGTTTGTCTCCTGCGTGGCCATCGGCCTGAGGGCTGGAGCGTGACCATCCCTTCCCCGGGGCCGACACGTCACCCAGCTCGGTGCATGTACTGAGGCGTGAGGAGTGCTCGGTGGGCTCAAGGTCGTGGCGGGGCCGTAAGCATTCGATGAACTAATGAACCGGGCCTGTCCGGGGCCAATCCCAGGAGAGCTGCCTGGGACACCCCCCCCCCAGGCCGTCCAAGGATCCCTCACCGCTCAGGACCCCGCCGTCCCAGCTACCTCCCACCCACCGAGGCCCTCCGACCCCCACCGTCCTGGGACCCCCGCCATCAAACCATCCACCCACCCCAGCCCGCCCGTCGCGCAACCCCTTCCCTGGCGGGACCTCCGCCGTCCAGGCCATCACCCCTCGCCCGCCCGGGGCTCCCGCCGTCCTGCAGCCGGGGGGTAAGAGCCGCGGTTCTGCGCCGCTGAGACCGCTAGTGGCCACCGTTAGCTGGCAGCGCCTCCATTCCGTGACCGCGGAGGCTACAGAGACAACTCCGGACGAGGTCAGCGCCTCCGGGCGCATTCGCGTTACGTCACCGCTGTGCTGAGCTCGCGGGCCCAGGAGGCGGTTCGGAGGGCGGTGCTAGGGCGGGTCCCAGGGGCCGGTAGGGGGTCGGGCCCAGGCGTGTCCCAGGGGGCGGTGCCAGGGCGGGTCCAGGAGGGTCAGGGAGCGGGGACAGACGGGCTGCGGGCGCTTTAAGGACGGCCCCACGGTGTGGGGCGGCTGTTTCCGGAAGTCGCTGCTCCGTGCCCTGGTTGGCCAGGGGCTGTTTTCCGCGCCCTGTCCTCAGCCCTGAGTGCCGGGCCCGGTCCCCAGCGCCCCCATTCGGTCCTCAGCGCCCCTTCCTCAACGTTGTCAGCCCTGAGCCACCCAGCCCTCGAGCCCGAGCCCTCGGTCTTCGCACCCTCCTCACGTCCTCCGAGCCCTTGGCCTCAGCGTTGGCTACCCCCATCCTGGGTCTGCGCCTCCGAGTTGGGCGCCCCCTAATCCGGCTCCTCCACGTCCCTCCCCCAAGCCTGGCCCGCGGCCGTCCCCGCCTGGGCCGCCTCCCGGCGTGATGGTTGCCCCTGACCCCCTGGGTCTGGGAGCCCCCTTTGGACGCGGCAGGTTTCGGGAGTAGCCCGCGGCAGGTACCGGGAAGGGGCGGCCGGGGCTCGGGCCGTAGGAGGCGCTCCGAGAGGTGGGACCCTGGACGCAGCTCGGCCTGGCCGCGCCAGCACGTGGGCGCCGGCCCTGGCGGCGATGGGAAGTCTCGGGCGCTTGTCCCTCCGGGTCTGCTGGGCACACCTGCGGCGCTCGGAGCCCGGGCAGGGGCGGTGTCCCCGCGGACTCGGCTGGCTTCTGCTGGGCACGTTGCCCCGGCTCGTCTCCGCCTGCGGGGACGTCAGCGAGCGAGTTCCCGAGAGCCTGTGCCCGCGAAGGGCCCGCTGGAGCGGCCCGGGCGAACAGGGCCGGGTGGAGAAGGTCCGCCAGGAGGGGCGAGGCCTCTTGTGCCACGTGCGGCTCTGGCTGCGGGCTGGGGGGCTCCTGGCCAAGTTCCTGCCGCTGCTGTTGCTCTACCCGCTCACCTACCTGGCCCCGGCTGTCGCCACTCTCTGGCTCAACCTGCTCCTGAAAGCCACGGAGACCTCAGGCCCCACCTACATCAAGCTGGGCCAGTGGGCCAGCACCAGGCGGGACCTGTTCTCGGAGGCCTTCTGTGCCGTCTTCTCCAAGCTGCATGTCCGCGTGAGGCCCCACGCCTGGGCTCACACGCAGCGCTCCCTCCAGCAGGCCTTTGGGGAGGCCTGGAGCCAGGTCCTTTCCTTCGAGAGTCTGGAGCCTGTGGGCTCGGGCTGCATAGCCCAGGTGTACAAGGCCCACGCCAAGGCTGCCTTCCTGGGGGAGGACCCTCTCCGGACCGTGGTCCCCGCCTCCAGCCTCTGGCCCTCTTTGGGTGCCTGGGCCCTCAGGGGGCTAGGAGAACTCTTTGGACGCCCTGGGAAAGGCCAGGAGCTGGAAGGAAGTCTTGCAGACCAGTCGTTTCTAGAAAACCTACTGCTCCCCAAAGCCAACATGGTGGGAGTGAGCACGGCATCTCCTGCCCAGCGGCCTGAGCCAGGTCATCGCATCCCAGTGGCTGTGAAAGTGAGTGTTCCTGATGCCAGGCCCTTCCCATGTCAAACCAGACAGCCAACCTCTAACCTACCCTCAGCTGGAGACATCCCCATGCAAATCACCTTCCCCATGGCCTTCCAGTTACTTCTGTTAGTTTCACAACCATGTGCAAGCTGGCTGGTTTCTTGGCTTGAGGGAGTAGGTGGTGTGAATGCTCAGGTCCAGGAAAATGAGGGAGGTGTGGGGCTGTCTGTCTCTGAGGCTGGAGGAACCACCATGCTTAATGACCCACTCCCCAGGGTAGGCACAGTGCTGGGTCAGTGATAGGATTCTTACCCACCACTGTCCATCTGACTGAAACAGATGGAGAAGAAAGGCCTGACTTCCTTCCGGCAACCCTAACCCTAACCCTGTGGATCACAGCAGCACACTCTTGTCCACAGCTCGTCACTCTCATGTGCATGGGGTCACTACGGTCAGGGGCCATTGTGATGGCAGCTGCCACTACGCTGGGTGAGAGGGTGAATCTGAGACAGGTTCCCTGGGCTCTGGCAGACCCAAGGTGGGGGTGTGATGTTTGACAGAAGTGGTCCTCTCCTCTCCTGCCTGTTCGCTCTCCTTCCTGTCTCCATGTGGTCTGTCCCATTGTGCACATTCACGGATCTGGCAGGAAGGGTCATGGAACCCTGGAGCTCTCTTACTCCCAGAGAACCCTGCCCTGGCTGCCGCACCATCGTCCAAGGAAGGGCTGGGGCCTGGGTTTTTATCCGTGCTGCGAGGGGTGCTCATGGCCAAGCCTGTTTGGGAAACGTGGGCCCTGACTCAGGTTCCTTGTGTTCCAAGGAAGACTGGGAGGAGGCCCCACTTCTCAGACACCTGCTGTGGACCAGGAGCAGTGCTACAGTGTCCATGTCCTGTGCATGGACACCCAGGGGGAGGCGTGTGCTTTATTCTGTTTTTAATTGTATTTATTTTGTCGCTGAGAATATACACAGCTGAATATTAATCAATTCAACAGTTTCTACAGGTACAATTTAGTGGCATTGATGATAGTCTTCTAGTTGTACAACTGTTCTCACTCTCCTTTTCTGAGTTGTTCCTCCTCCACTAACAAAAACTCACTGCCCCCTAAGGCTCTTATGTAATCTTTTGAGTTACTATTGTCCATTTGATTCTATGGAGAGTTCTTCAGAGAGCATAACGTGCCAGGCAGACTTCTTTTCACTAGTGAAGCTAAGGGACTGTTCCGTTCTAAGAAGACTTTAGGGGGTATTTTTGGTTTAAGGTTTAAAGATTATTTCAGGGCAGTAATTTCAGGGGTTCACCCATCCTCCTTGGCTCCAGAAAGTCTAGAGTCCATGAGAGTGTAAAATTCTGCTCCGCATTTCCCTCCTTTTGATCGGAAATGGTAGCCAGGCACCATCCAGTTCTGGTCTCAAGGCAAAGGAGGTAGTTGTTCACGGAGGCAACTAGCCACATTCCAAACCTCCTCCTCTTCCGGACTCTCCTGTTGTTCCGGGATGATTGTTCCAGTGACTGCTTTATTCAGATCTGAAATACCCTGTATTGTGTCTAAGAGGAGTGGAGGTGGAGGTGGTGGCGGGTGCTGTCAAGTTGATGCCAGCTCACGGTGCCCCTGCGTATCACAGAGTGAAACACGGTCTGGTCCTGCACCAGCCTCACAGTTGCTACTGTGTCTGGGCCCGTTGTTGCAGCTGCTGGGTCAGTCCATGTCATTGAGCATCTTCCTCTTTCTCCGTGACCCTCTGCCTTACCGAGCATGATGTCCCTCTCCAGGGACTGGTCCCTCCTGATAACATGTCCGAAGTACGTGAGATGAAGTCTCACCATCCTTACTTCTAAGGAGCATTCAGGCTGTACCTCTTGCAAAACAGATTTGTTTGTTCTTCTGGCAGACCATGGTATATTCAGTGTTCTTTGCCAACACCGTAATTCAAAGGGGTCAATTCTTCTTTGGTCTTACTGTCTTTCTTTCTCATGCTATGAGGTGACCGAAAATACCATGGCTTGGGTCAGGAGAACCTTTGTCAGCAAGATGACATCTTTGGTTTTTAGCACTTTAAAGAGGTCTTTTGCAGCAGATTTGCCCAATGCAATATGTTGTTTGATTTCTTGACTGCTGCTTCGCTGGGTGTTGATTTTGGGTCAAAGTAAAATGAAATCCTTGACAACTTCATTCTTTTCTCTGTTTCTGAAACATGAAGCAGAGAGCGGTTGCATGGCTTGCCTAGCTTCCTGCAGGTGCGAGTGGCAGACCTAGAATCTGAAGAGAGCTCTTTCCACTCCCTCCACAGTCTGCGGCTCTAGAGCATTGTTCAAGGGCCCCTGGTGGCACCATGGGTAGGCCTTGGCTGCTAACCGAAAGGTCAGTGGTTCAAACCCACCAGTGACACTGAGGGAGAAAAACTTGGAGATCTGGTTTCATAAAGATTAAACCCAACCCAACCCACTGCCATCAAGTTGGTTCTGACTCATAGCAACATTCTAGGACAGACTAGAACTGCCCCGTAGGTTTCCAAGGCTATAAATCTTTATGGCTGCAGACTGCTTTATCTTTCTCCTGCAGAATGACTAGTGGGTTCAAACCACTGATGTTCTGGTTAGCAGCCAAGTGCCTTAACCACTGCACCACCAGAGCTCCTTTTGTAAAGATGACAGCCTAGGAAACCCCATGGGGACGTTCTGCTCTGCCCTATGGCTCGCTGTGAATCAAAGATCGGACGGCACAACAGGCATGTTTTATTGGTGTGTGGTCTTTGGGTGGCCAAGTGCAGTTGCCTGTGAGTGCAGTAAGACGCTGGTTCCTGGCCCACCCCCAGAGAGCCTGATTTCATGGGTCCTGGAGGAGACCCAGGCCCACATTCTCACCAGGCACTCCAACATGACCCTTACGCACTTGACCCAGCGAGCACCGTGACCTGGACTTAATATATTTGAAAGGAAAAGGCCTCCTCTTCCTTGGGCAAAGCCTAGTGCAGCGCAGGGGAGTGGCCCCTGAGTATCCGAGTATCGGGGCAGGCACGTGAGGTGAGGGAGCCCAGTGCAGCGCAGGGGAGCGGCAGGGGAGGGGAGGGGAGCGGGAGCCACCCCCTGGGGTGGGGGCGGGACCACCTCCCTTTTGTTCCTTCTCTGATGGTGGGCCCCGGCCCTCCTGCCTCACTGCTCCTCTCCTGCAGGTGCTGCACCCTGGCCTGCTCACCCAGGTGCAGATGGACCTGCTGCTCATGAAGATGGGCAGCCGAGCCCTCGGGCTTCTGCCGGGAGTCAAATGGCTCAGCTTGCCTGAGGTTGTGGACGAGTTTGAGAAGCTCATGGTGCAACAGGTAATTCTTCTCTCAGCTGTAACAGCACCTCCCGTAGTTCTCTCTTTAAGGAGCCCTAGTAGTGCAACGGGAGCTCTGGTGGCGTAGTGCCTAAGGCACTTGACTGTTAACCAGAAGGCTGGCGGTTCACATCCACCAGCCACTCCTCGGAAGGAGGATGGGGCAATCTATTTCCGTAGCGATACTGCCTCGGAAACCCAAGGAGGGGTCGCTATGAGTCGGGTCCGACTCGACGGCACATAACATAAAGTAGTGCAACGGTAAAGTGCTTGGCTGAGAACAGAAAGGTCAGCACTTCGAACCCACCAGGAGCTCTGAGAGAGAGAGAGAGAGACCTAGCATTTTGTTCCTGTAGGGATAACAGCCCAGGAAACCCCAGGGGGCAGTCCCAGTTTGTCACATAGGGTTACTGTGAGTTGGAATTGATGGCACCCCACAACAACATACAGCAAATGCTGAATGAATGAATGAGTGTGGTGTGTTAGGGTAGGTAACACTAGCTGATGTAACAAAGAACACCCAAAGTTCAGTGGCTTAATGCAACAAGGTTATTTCTTGCTTTTAGCAAAGCCCCATGTAGGTGAGCTGAGGGAGAGAGGGCTCCACCTTATAGTCATTCAGGGCCCAGCTCCTCCCAAGTCTGCCCACCATCCTCAGCATGTGTCATATGGGTCAGTGTGTGATGGGAGAGACCATATAGAACCCTGTCAGAGGTGTGCTGACCAGGACCCCATGGAAGATCCTGTCAGGTGTGGTAACTAGGTCCTATGGAAGATGCTGTCAGCTCTGGTGGCTAGGCCCCCAAGAAGGATCCTGTCAGCTGTGGTGGTCAGGCCCCATGGAAGAACTTGTCAGGTGTGGTGACCAGGCCCTATGGAAGATCCTGTCAGAGCTACTATGGACAGGCTTCATAGAAGGTCCTGTCAGAGGTGTGGTGACCAGGCCCCTGAGGAGGACCCTGTCAGCTGTGGTAGCCAGGTCCTATGGAAGATCCTGTCAGGTATGGTGACCAGGCTCCATGGAGGATCTTGTCAAGAGGTACTGTGGACAGGCTTCATGGAGGATCCTCTCAGAGGTGTGGTGACCAGGCCCCCATAGAGGATCCTTTCAGAGGTGTGGTGACCAGGCCCCCATGGAGGATCCTGTCAGCTGTGGTGACCAGGCCCCATGGAGAATCTTGTCAGAGGTACTGTGGACAGGCTTTATGGAGGATCCTGTCAGGTGTGGTAGCCAGGCCCCTGTGGAGGATCCTGTCAGAGGTGTGGTGGCCAGGCCCTTCTTCCCACACCTGTCTTCCCTGTGAACTGAGAGGGAGCTGGGACATACAGTCACCTTTTGTGCCTGGAGGAAAATGACATGATCCTGGGACCTGTCCACAGTACCTCTGACAGAGCGTTACCTCTGCCTCAGTTACTGACTTAACTCCAGAGCAGAAGAGTCAGCAGAGCCACACACTCTGGCTTTGTTTGCTTGGTTCCCAGGGCTAACAGGGTAGACAAGGGCCGCCTCCCTGCTCAGGACCCCGGGGACGCAGGGTGCTGCGTTAGGTAGTGGGCTGGGGCTGCACGCACACCGCCTCAGCACTGGCTCTGTGTGTAGGGAAGACGCTGGCAGGCTTTCAGGAGCAGCGGGCAAGGCTTCCATCCTGTGACGTAAGGGTTGAGGTTCCTGGGGAAGCATTGCTTTCTCCTGTGGAGAAGTGTGGTTTTGAGTGTTCAAAGAACTGAGAACAGCTGCTTCCAGCCACCTCCTGTGCCCGATTATGCTCAGTTCTACCTTGGCCTGAGCTTCGTTCTGTTCTTCACGCTCCCCTCCACAGCTTGCCTCTGCCTCTGCTCGTAGCCTGTCTGCATTTCCCAGAAGGCCTGGAGGTTCCCAGGTGTACACACCTGAAGAGCTGTGGGTCTGGTGCATGTGTGGGGCCCTCCTCTCTCCTCACACACTCGTTCCTAAGTTCACATCACTGTTGGAAGCTGTCTTAGAAGCCGGTGAACTAAGAAAACAGATGAGGTCTTCCTGTCCCTGAGGCAGAGGGAGGTTCCTGGGTGGCACACATGGTTAAGTGCTCGACTGGGAGCTGGACTAGGAGCTTGGCGGTTTGAGCCTGCGTGGTGGCTGCTGGGAAGTCAGGCCTGGCAGTCTGCTTCCGAAAGTTCCCAGCCTTGGGAACCCTCTGGCACACATCTGCTCTGCATACATGGGTCACCATGTGGCAGATTTGGCGCTGGGGCACGGACATCACCACAGTCAGGCCCAGGGCAACTGCTGTGTGTTTACAAATACTTGCAAAGAAAGCCTCAGAGGAGTGGGGGTGGCCGTTTCTTGCTGAGGGTGAAAGCTCCTTTGGAGCTCACGGTTGGACCAGAAGGGGGAGGAACATTTCTCATCCTGGAGGAAAGGAAGCCAAGGATGGGGGTGTCACAGACGAGCTGGGAGAGCGGAGTTGGGACAGGGTGGCTGAGTGACGGAAGTGACTGCGGGCCTCCGGGGTTGGCAGTCTCTGCCGTGTTACCAGCCGGGTGACCTCAGTCTCCTTGCTACGGAGCAGGAGCAGGAGCTCCTGCTGCCAGGGTTGACATGGGACCACATGAAGTGCCCTGTGGGGGCAGGGACGCACAGACGGGGTGCTCAGCACCTGCATGGAGTCGGGTTGGGGTGCTCTAGAGCCATCCTGGGAGGAAAGTGGGGCTGGAGCCCCTGCCCCTTGCAGGGCAGGCTATGAGTTTGCACTTGGCCCTGCAGGTAGTGAGGGGACACTGGCCGAGGGAGGGGAGACAGGAGGCCAGAGCCCACCTAAGACACCTGCTGGGACTTGGGCGACCAACCTGTGAGCGATTGGAGGCCGAGTCGCACCCTTGGGTGGGTACCTGGATGGGGGTGAGAAAGGAGGTGACGCCAGGTGACTGAGTGGGTTGGCAGGGAGCAAGTCCAGTGTGGATGGGGTTTCAGGGGCATGTGGGGGTCCTTGGAGACCTGCCTGATGGAGGGTCTGGACAAGAGTCTGGCCTATGAGGCCTGTGGGGGATGAGAGAAGAGGGACTGCTGCCCGAGCCAGAGGCTGGGGGCCTCACCGGTGAGGCCGTCATGTAGCTGGATGGCGGGCCCGGGGGCAGTTGGAGGCAGGCAGCAATGATCAGCAAGGCGATGCCCTGAGAGGTGAGCCAGGATAAAGGGGACGCTGGTCCTCGAGTCCAGCCAACCCAGGCCCTCGGAGAGTCTGGGGAGAGCAGAGCTGTGCACCGTGGAGGGTGGCCACCGGGACAGGAGTGGCCACACTGATTCCCGTGGTGGGACGGCTGAGTGGAGGGCAGAGGGCCAGGCTGGGGACAGAGGGGCAGTGGGCTGGTGCTAGGCGGGGGAGCAACAGGGAGAGGCTCTGAGGACTCCACTCCTGTGGCTGGAGGAGTTGGCACGGCACTCAGATGCCTGGCAGCCCAGCCTGCATTCCCCGAGCTCCCAGGAGCGGGATGAGGGGAGGGCAGGTCTGCCAGTCTACCCGCTCCCCCAGGCCCACCCTCGCCTCTCCCCGTCCACTGTAGATCGACCTGCGTTACGAGGCGCAGAATCTGGAACACTTCCAGCGGAACTTCCAGAATGTGAAGGCCGTCAGGTTCCCCACCCCTCTGCGCCCCTTCATCTCCAGGGATGTCTTGGTGGAGACGTACGAAGTAAGTCCAGAGCCCTGCCCCCCCAGGCCTCTCATGGGTGTCACAGACGAGCTGGGAGAGCGGAGTTGGGACGGGGTGGCTGAGTAACGGAAGTGACTGCAGGCCTCCTGGGTTGGCAGTCTCTGCCGTGTTACCAGCTGGGTGACCTCCGCTCCCGCTGCCAGGGTTGACATGGGACTAAATGAAGTATCACCTGCCATATACTTAACATCTAATGCCAGACGCACAGTGCTCACACAGAGGAAGAGGCCAACACCTGTGGCACCATCGCCACCTGCCTCCACTGCTCCCGGTCCAGCCTCCTGGGAGATGGCTGGAGACGCTGGGACCTGAGTTATCTAAGCTCTCTGGACTTCGGTGGTTTTACTGGTTCATTGGGGATGACAACACATCTCCCTGGGTTGCTTTGGAAACCAAAGAAGCTAATCTGTGTAAAACCAAGGCGCTCTAGTGGTGTAGTAGGTAATGCGTTTGGCCGCTGACCAAAAGGTTAGTGGTTTTGAACCCACCGGCCTCTCTGTGGAAAAAAGATGAGGCAGTTTGCTTCTGTAAAGATTTACATTCTTGGAAATCCCATGGGGGTCACTGTGAGTCAGAATCCACTTGATGGCAGTGACTTTGGAGGGTTTTTTTTTGGTTTTGTATAAAACCAGTTGCCATTCCGATTCCTGGCCCTCTCACACGTTTGAATTCTCTGGACGTGCGTGTGGTTGATATGCTCCACTGCTCCCTGAGAGGTCGGAGCGTTGAGTCCACTCGGGTGCCTCAGAAGAAAGCCCTGGCAGTCTACTTCTGAATAATCAGCCCTCGAAACCCTGTGGAGCCCAGTTCTGCTCTCACGCACGTGGGGTCCCCACGAGTCGGGGTCTTGACGTGGCAGCCTCCATAAAATGCTGCTCCCTGGCCCCGTTCTTCCCTCTCCCCTCCTTCCCCTGGCTCATGCCCTGATTGGCTGATTGTGGGCTAGGGTCGAGCTCTCTTGGTGCCCACCCTGCCTTTCCCTCACAACACCTCTGTGTCCACAGACCCCCCACCGGGGAGTGTGGTTGAAGGAGCAGGCAGGTGGGTGCACAGCTGTGGGTGACAGACTCAGGGGCTCTCAGAAAGGTGAACCTTGGGCCTTTTCCTAACACTCCCCCCTCCCCTGAGCAGGACAGCCACGTTGTGTGTCACCTGGACAGGAGCTGGCCGGAGGCTGGCTGTCCAGTGGCGCTGTCGTGCTCTTTCCTCAGGAGAGCGTGCCCGTGTCCTGCTACCAGCAGGCGGACGTGCCCCTGGAGCTAAAGCAGCAGATAGCACGGCTGGGGATCCGCACGCTCCTGAAGATGGTAGGCTCGCAGTCGGGGGGCGCTGGGCCCCACACGGGGCGGCTGGGCTCTGCGCCGCTCTCACGGGTCACGGGAGGGTGGCCAGGCCAACTGGGCACTGTGCCGAGGACCAGCTGCAGAGACAGCTGCGCCAGCCGGAGGCCTTCACGCCCTTTGCAGCTCTACCTCCACTCAGAGCGCTGCAAAGGTGGGAGTTAGATGGTATCCCACCTGGGGACCTGTGGTGTAGACAGTCCTCACTGGGGGCCTGTGGTATAGATGGTTTCTGCCTGGGGGCCTGTGGTGCACATGATCCTGCCCAGGAGCCTGCAATACAGACATCCTCATCCGGGGGCCCTCAGTGTAGACAGTTCCCATTCAGGGGCCTGTGGTGTACATGGACCCTGGCAGGGGTCTTGTGGTATAGACAGTCCTCACCTGTGGGCTGCGATGTAGATGGTCCCTGCCTGGGAACTCTTGGTGTAGACAGTCGCTACTTGGGTGCCCACAGTGTAGACAGATTGCCCGGAGATGGCGTAGTGTGTTCATTCACCCAGCACACACTTACTGGGCATCAACTGGCAGGTGCGAGCTCTGTGCTGGATTTGCAGGGGTGAATGGTGGCGGTCTATCTCCAGTGAAGTGAAAGATTCCAGATGAGTTTGTGCAGAGACAGAAAAACCCACCCAGCATCACCCTCGAAGTTTATTGGGAGGTGCTTACGGAAAAGCAGCGCTGCATCCCTGGGCCAGCGGGTCAGGTTTCAAGTCCGCACCCCGCTTCCTGTTTCCCTCGGGTTCATATACCATAAGGTGAGCAACCAAAGGCTGGGCTTCTCAGGGCCAGGGACTAGACACTGAGGCGCCTGGTTCAAGGGTGATAACAAGGCTTGTGGTCAGGCAGGAAGAGGTATTTCCCTTTAAGCCATTGCTGATAGCTGTTTAACTAAGGAATGTGGCCGCAAGGGGGATATTGGGAGAGGGTGGGAATGACTTGACGTTTTGTTAGATGGAATTTGCTTTCAAGATGGAGTCCAGAAGCCATTTGCGGCTGTTAGATGGCCTATATCATACAATGAACAGACGTGTTCTGACACTCCTGGAACCACTGTCGGGGGGTTAGCGCTGGACAAGTGGAGGGTATAGAGGGGTGAGGACAGGCTGCCGAGCGTCATCTGGGGCCTGTCCTAGTGTAGGGGTTCATTCAGACCCTGGGAGTCAGGTGGGCCTGGGTCCGGAGCATGCATCTGCCTGGAAGGGCCCCTGAGGTTCCCTCCAGTAGTGACTACGAGACCCCTGGCGTCCGTCCCCATTCCCCATCTCTGTCTAACCACAGGCTCCCAGGAGGGGACGGTCTACACCACAGGCCCCCCAGGAGGGGACCTTCTACACTGCAGACCCCCCAGGGGGGGACCTCCTACACCACAGGCCCCCGGGAGGGGACGGTCTACACCACAGGCCCCCCAGGGGGGGACGGTCTACACCGCAGGCCCCCGGGAGGGGACCGTCTACACCACAGGCCCCCCAGGGGGGGACGGTCTACACCGCAGGCCCCCAGGAGGGGACGGTCTACACCACAGGCCCCCCAGGAGGAGACCTTCTACACCGCAGGCTCCCCAGGAAGGGGACCTCCTACACCACAGGCCCCCGGGAGGGGACGGTCTACACCACAGGCCCCCGGGAGGGGACGGTCTACACCGCAGGCCCCCCAGGAAGGGGACCGTCTACACCGCAGGCCCCCCAGGAAGGGGCCGTCTACACTGCAGGCCCCTGTGCAGGGCCCTCTCCCACTTTCCCCCTCGTGCCACATTCCTTAGTTAGGCAGCTTATCAGGAGAAATAAGGAGAAATAACCTCCTCCCGCCTGACCACAGCATCCGGGCATTGTTATCACCCCGCTGGCAGCTTTGAACCAGGCCCCTCAGTGTCCGAGCCCTCGCCCTGCGAAGCCCCGCTTTGGCTGGTCAGCGGCCCAGGGGAGGGGGCTGCAGCTGTTGTCTCCGTGGCAGGCGGTCCACTCCGCGAAGGGGCCGGGGCTGCTTCTGGTTTAGTGGGTTTAACCCGCGACTGGTACTGTGTGCAAGCCACGTCCGCGGTGCGCGCCGGGGCGCTGTGCTCGCACGCGCAGGCGCATGGCGCCATCTCCGGCTCCGCCTGCCGCCGCGCGCCACCCGAGCAGCGCAGCGGGGAAGCTTGGTTTGTGATGTGTTTGGAAAGCAACGTGGTTCCGTGAGTTTGCAGAAGCACGAGCCACTATTGTAAGTAGTGTTGTAGTCTCTGCTCAGATTGCGACAATCACAGCTGCTGCCCCGCTTAGGCCCTGGAACTGCGCTCCTAGGGTCAAGGCTGGGAGCGTTCGGAAGGCGTGGCCTGCCTTGGCTTCCTTTGGGGTGGGTTCATGTCAGCAACCTCGTGGCTGGTAGCAGACCGGATCTTTAACCGTTTGCACCGCCCTGTGGCTTGGAGGGTGTCGGGGAGCCGTAAGCGGCGGCACTTTCTTGCAGATATTTGTGGACAACTTTGTCCACGCGGACCTCCACCCTGGGAACATCCTGGTGCAAGGCGCCGGCGGGCTGGCCAGGGGCCTGGAGTCTCGGCTGCAGCAGGGGGACCTCTGCGCCTGGGGGGCGGCGGCTGCTCCTGGCGCGCCTCGGCCCCTGCGGCTGGTGCTGCTGGACGCGGGCATCGTGGCAGAGCTGCAGGCCGGTGACCTGAGCAACTTCCGGGCTGTCTTCCTGGCCGTGCTGCTGGGGCAGGTGAGACCCGGGGGCCCTTGCCTTTGAGGCCGGCTCCTCGGCCTTCCCGGCTCTGTAAACGCCGACCCTTGTGAAGCTGCTCAGAGGGCAGGCGGGAGGCACCTCTGGGCAGTGGGGTCGAGCCACGTCCCAGCCGCTTATGTTTCGGATGAGAAATGACGGCGCCTTCCCTGGTGCTGGTGTGGGCCGGTGGTCTCCCTTTTTTGGCACACTCACCGGGGGGCACCGGGCAGGTGAGTTTCTTGACTGAACCATGGTGCCCTGGGTCAGCGCCGTGGAGCCAAGATGGTGAGCTGGGCAGCCGAGGGCAAGAGGAGTGCCTCCCTGGCCGGGGAGCCTGCCAGTGTCTGGTGTGTGGGGGGCGGCTGAAAAGAGTTTTAGGGCCTCCCCTGTGGCTTGGAGGGGCTCCTGTGTCAAGAAGTATCGAGAAAGGGCTTCAGAGAGCCCACAGGAGTAAGGGCTTCTTCCTCAGCAGGGTGAGGGAAACATCCTGGGGGCTGTGGGCGGGGACCTCTCCAGCCCAGAAAGGCCCTGGAGGGAGAGAGCTGGCCGAAGGGGCGAGGTTCAAGAGTCCTGCTTGGGCGGTTCCCGAGGGGCTACCCAACAGAGTGAACCCGGAGCCAAGGGGGAGGGCGGAGGTGTGGGTTGTGGGGCTCAGCACCCCGTGCCCAGGGTTGGGTGAGGAGCGTGGCACTGGGAGTGACCACGGGGAGCTGAGAGGTGGCTCAGCTGTGAGCAGGGGACTCAGCTCAGGGAAGGAAGAGCCTCTGGAGAGCCTGGTCCTGGGTGAGCCCAGCAGGCAGGCGCAGGGAGAGACGGGCCCCAGCAGCCAGCCCAGGGTGATCTCAGGGAGGAGAGGAGACTTGGGCCCTTCCCCTGCCCTTAAGGGTTCCTGCCCGGACGTAGGTAGGGTCCCATAGACCGTCAGAGACCAGTCAGTGTCCAGGTATTCTGGAGGGACAGTTTAAAGGGGAAGGGTGGGCAGAGGCAAGACGGCAGGAAAACCAGGGTGGAAGGAGTAGAGAGTGAAAGACCTGGGCCGAGCACCGAGCTTTGGGCCTCCTCGAGGTGGCTTCATGGTGGCCCTTCGTCTCCCATCCTCCAGGGCCAGAGAGTGGCTGAGCTCATCCTGCAACACGCCCGGGCCAGCAACTGCAGGGATGTGGAGGCCTTTAAGGCTGAGATGGCCACGCTGGTGGACCGGGCCAGGAGGGACACCGTCACTCTGGAGAAGGTGGGCAGCAGCTCCGGGCGGGCCCTTCAGGACTCTGCACCTTGCCCTCGGGTGTAGCAATCCCAGGGCTGTGTGCAGGTGATGCATGTGTGCACGCGAGCGAGCGCGGGTGAGAGAGAAATGTGGCGTTTGGTGCGTGTGAGTGTGGTGAGCGTATAGTGTGGCTCTGTGTGTGTGTGCACGGGGTATGTGGTGGGAAAGGGGGGCAGGGCCTGGAAGGGAAAGAAGGGGTCTCTGCAGCTCGGCTTCACCCTCTTTTCCAGGTTCAAGTTTCCAGCCTTCTTTCCAGCGTCTTCAAGTTACTGATGACACACCAGGTGAGGCCCCACATGCACCTGAGCTAGCGGGCAGGCTCTCTGGGAAACGTGTGTGTGTGTGTGTGTGTGTGTGTGTGTGTGTGTGGTGGCCCCAGGGGCAGGATAGACTTCCTTTCCTGAAAGAAAACCAAAAAAAATTAACTCACTGCTGAGTCGGGTCCAACTCATAGCAACTCCTCCTTGGATGTCCGTGGTAGTATCTCTATGGAAGTAGATTGCCCAATGTTTCTTCTGAGGAGCGGCGGCTGGTGAATTTGAACCCCCATCCTTCTGGTTAGCAGTCAAATGCCTTAGGCACTACGCTACCAGAGCTCCTGGAATTAAATCTGTTCCCAGTAACAGAGCTTTTGTGTGTAGGGCTGTTTTTGGTTTCCTGTGATGGAACACAAGTGAAAAAAGTGAACTCCACCCACTGGGGACTTGGTGATTTGTGAAGTGGCCGATGGCTCTGCTGCGGAGGAGTGCCCGAATGTCATTCCTTTCCGTCTTCATTTTCCACCTTGAGGTTGGAAAAGGAGGCACAGGCATCAACGAGAAGGGGGACTGTCATTTGAAACTCTGTTTGGGTAGAACATCTTGTCACCACCATCATCCACACCAGCCCAGTCAGCCACTGATGTCTGCAGAATGACCAGAGCCTGAGGAGAGGACCCCCTTGCTGCCTGAGGTCCATGAACTTCGTGCAAGATTGGGAGAAGGAGGGCTGAAACATGAATGCGTCAGTGGACCGTCTCTATGGTTTTAGAAATAGTGGGAAGTAAAGACAATAGCAACAGAGCTAAGTGAGACAGGCTGTCGATGAGGCAGATGGTGTGGCCGTAGTCCTTGAGTCTCAGCCAGGCCTCTGAACGGCGTCCTGACGTTCTTGGGAGTAAGATGGACATGGATCACCTGAATGACGGCATGGAAGTAGGTTCAGAGCTGGCTGAGTGATCACACCTGAAGATACCAAGCATCCCTCCTTCCTCTCCAGGAGGAATTAGCATATTTACAAATATCTTACAGGAGAGCCTCATTGGCATGCTGATATTTCAGACTAAAAACCCACTGCCATCAAGTGGATTCTGACTCCCAGTGACCCTGGAGGACAGAGTAGAACTGCACCCATAGGGTTTCCAAGGCTGTCAGTCTTTAGGGAAGCAGACTGCCTCCTCTTTTTCCTGCAGAGTGGCTGGTGGGTTTGAACTGCCCACCTTTTGGTTAGTATAGTAGCCCACTGCTTTTAACCACAGTGCCACCTGTTTTTGTTTTTTTTTAATGAGAACTAAAATTTTTATAAGTTGAAATTATAGGCCATGTCCACAAAGTAGAATTTAGCTGGGAGAAATACAAAATCCTACCCACGTTCATAAAAGAAGTGAGTAAATAGGTTGGCAGCCGTGCAGTCAGCACCGGATTGTGGCAGCTCCACGTACAACGAACGTGTAGTGGGATGACGTTTAACTGTATCGATGCAGGAAGGTCGGCTCTCTGGGGTTGTGAATGAACATGAGCGGGACGCGGTAGAGTGAGGAGGCTGCCGCAGTCGTGTGGCTGACTTAATGCATTTTTGACGCTTACGAGGGAGATGAAGATTAGCGTGTCTGGCTAGTTGGTGTGGGTCAGTCTAACATGGAGTTTCATGTTTATTCTGGACGTCCTGTTCCTCTCTGAGAACTTGAAGCTGGAAGGCTCAGAGATGAGATTGGACGAGGAGATGCCCAGCTTGAAGATGCCGTGTCCTCAGGTGACCCTTCCTTCCAGGAGGGAAGCCCCTGAGAGAAACCTGCCCAGGGCACGTGACGTGCGTTTGCTTGACATCGAGTTTCTTTTTTCCTAGGATTCTTGTAAACCGGTGACAGTTTCCTTTACATCTTAAAAAGGCCAGAAGGAGGTCCACTCCAGCTGGTCCAAATAGTGGACAGACATCTGTGGAAGGACGGACCTGGTTTATTTCTGTTCTGTGCTTCCCCCAAACAGTTCTGATAGGTTTTTTGGCCTCTTCCACTATGACTGGCTGATGCTCGGGAATTTCTGTTGCCATGCCTGCCTGTGTAGAGTTATATAGGCTAGTGCGCCACTCTGGAACATTATGTAGGGAGTGGGGTTTGATACTCACCCCATTTTCCCAACTAGAGGAATCGAGTCTCTCTTCTTTCTAGCCCTCTATTATACACAGCTGGATGCTTTTGATGGTTTTATTACAGAAATGTTACAGAAAGAGATAACAATTAGGAAAGGTTTGTGAGCTGTGAAGGCTTGCACGAGCCCAAGGGGTAGTTATTCAAGTTGCAGCTGCCGGTGATGTTGGCCTGTCCTGGGTTTCCGCTGCCCAGCTTCCTCCGTGGTTGCATCCCTAACCCAGCAGTTGTGCATCTGTCCAGTTCGTTCCTGGTCATGAACTCGCTCCTCAAACATCCAGTCACATTTCTGTCATATTCCTGCTTCATTTATCTGCATCAAAGTCATTGAAAAGATTGACACCACTTGTAGAGTGTGCACATGAGTATTGAGTAATCCCTGGATACCACTGCTGTTACTAATTGGGCTCCACAGGGGAGCCTCTGCCATGTCTGAGCAGCCTGTTGTGTGTGGTCTCTGAGAAAGGCCACAGGAGGTATGAAGAGTGACCCTCCTATGAGACATATTTCTGGTATATCTGTGGAATTTTCATTGTGAGTCATTCATACACACACACACACACATACGCGTGTGTGCGTGTATAGGAGCTCTGGTGGCGCAGTGCCTATGGCATTTGACTGCTAACCAGAAGGTTTGTGATTCTAAACCCATCACCTGCTCCCTGGAAGGAAAATGGGGCAATCTGCTTCCATAAAGATTTACCACCTCGGAAACCAAATGGGGGTTGCTATGAGTTGGAATCAATTCGATGGCAGTGAGTTTGTTTTTTTATATGTATGTGTATGTATTATGTGTGTATATACATGTATGTTATAATGCATATGGTGTATACACAGAAACACACCCCCTGAAAAGTGCACGCCACATGCATCATGACTTTTCCTTAATATTTCTAGCACATGGGAAGTAGGGGAGCAGATGACTAGGTAGGGAAGGATAGAGTAGGGGAGTGTTATATCAACTGAAACCACATGGGCGTGCCCCGGAGATGTCTCTCTGAACCAGTGGGCCTTGGATGAATCTCTGCTCTTCTCTGTCTTAGGTGAAACTTGAGAGTAACTTTGCCTCGATTGTGTTCGCGACCATGGTGCTGGAGGGGCTCGGCCGCTCCCTGGACCCCAAGCTGGATATACTAGAGGCAGCGAGGCCCTTTCTCCTTGGGGGACCAGTGTCCTTCCCCTGA